CTCAGTATGTGGTCTTTGCCACTGGGTTTCGTGCTGAACCAGTTCAGTGATATTGCTTTGGTCCTGCTGTGGAGCTGGTTCACGAATTAGTCATCTCTGTATCGTTAGAATATGTTGGGATGTTTTAAAGAGCCCTGACCTTGTTGAATAATCCGAAGGGCTCCTGGCACCTTAGTTCCTATCTTATTTGATGTGTCATTAAAAGGTGTTTGTGAAAGCTCAACACCCGCAATGTGCATCCATTTTCTTAGCAGCAAAGCATCAATGGTTTGGGTTTTTGTGATGGAAGGTGACACGATATTTCAGGTACGGTCGACGTTCGCAACATACTCGTCAAGCAGAGGTTGAATTGTAAAACGGACTGTCATGATATCCATAATGCCAGGGGCATTTACCGATGGTAATTCTTCTTGCATTGCTTCGTCTTCTATCCCAAGCTGCCTTGCGACATCGGCCGTTACCAGGATACTATGAGAACCTTTGTCTAACAGAGGAAAATTAATCAAAGTTGGTCCAACCAGCCGAACCGTGACGAATACGAGGTAGCTGCTGGGACGTCATCCATCCCTTCATCGCCTGATTCCCTATCCACTGTGTACCTTGAAGCAGACGGCGATGTTATTATTTGCCGTTTGAGACTCGTAAGTGTAAGGACGTGACACTCAAACGCCCTCCGGTTGGATTCCAGGTAGCTGTNTTCCTGGCTCCCGAGCCTCTTAACCGGATTGAGATTACCGAAACCTCTACAGTATGAAAGGTTGGTTCTGTGAATAGTGCGGGTGAGTGGCACTCGGTCTACTCGGTCAGCATATATTCTTTGGTCAGCAATAGTACCATGGCAGTTGAAGACAACGGAGATACATCTTCGGTGAAAGGTACTAAGTGTTCGTATCCAGACTCTGAAACCAAACATGGTGCGTCGTATGCCGCTTCCATCTATTTTGGTTGCAACTTCTGAGCTAGATGTTTTACTATGCGATTCAGATTCGTTGAGCAATTCAAGTTTTTAGTATAGCGCATCTGTCCACTAACCGGGTAACAGCTAACAAGTTTGCTGATCATTCCTCATATGCACTGAACTGTCCAAGAGCAACCGACTCACATACCAGTCGTTCGTTCATGGACGATTGTGCTACACCGTCTGTCCGACCGAACTGCATTCTGAAAATATCCACGCTTTAGATAATCCGCTTCACTAGGAAGGAATATGCATTGCTTGATGGCCTCTGGCTTCTCCGCAGCGTTATTTGAAGAGGTACAACATTGCTAAACGCGTCAAATATCCGAACTGCAACATTTGGGTGGCATTGATGAAATTCCCAAAGACTATCGGATTTTCGCAGTGAATAGAATGCAAAAGCAGGAGTGCAGTTGTTACCGCGTGAGACACCTATTTACAGCGCAGCGGTTTGAGTACCACCAACGACCTTCTTTCGCAAAAATTGGTAGTCGGACATGCGCATTTTGCTTTCTCTAGATTAACCTTTGCGACCAATTTAACGACATTTTGTCTAATGGGCGAAAACTTGCGTTCAAAGTCACCGAGATCGAACTCCCGACGTAAAAGTACTCAAAAACAACAGCATGTTTTGGAGACGGCAACCTCCCCGTTCTTGTCTCCAGTTCTCTGACCCTAATCACAATTCTCCATTATCATATTTTTAACTAAAGCCTGGTGAAATATAAATCTGTAAGTCTGCCGGAACTTAAAAGAGCATCCATGGAGGAGAGGGAAAATATAGACGTACTAATTGAAAGCAGGAAGCGAAAGTGTTGCGGTCAACAATGTTATAAGAATTATTATTCATCAAAGCAATGTTTTCGAAAAAGTTTGAGGAAAAATACCATTTTCTGCTCTGGCCAAGTTTTTCCTAAGGTTCCAAAATTCCAACTCGGGTAAAAATCAGGGATCCACGTGTAAATTGAGTTTTGAGTACCACATATTGTTTCCAGCAATTAATTAGCTCACGTTAGGTTACGCGGGAACCCCAAATGTCAAAGTATTCGAACAGAGATTAATCAAAAACTGCGGCACCATGAATAAAATAATAAAATAATAAAATTTCATAAACATCTAATTGTGAACCTCCACTGGCTTCTGCACGCCTGTTGAGGAACCGGTAGTTCCCAGTTTGCGCCGACTCAAGACTACGTGGCTACCTACGTTTCGGTTTAAACGAGACATACGTTAACACGGTCAAAGTGTAGGTTGCGTTCAGGTCAGAAGAAGGGCGCCATATGCACAAAGCGGAAGAAAACCAAAATCAACAACGCGGCACCATGAATAAAATAATAAAATAATAAAATTTCATAAACATCTAATTGTGAACCTCCACTGGCTTCTGCACGCCTGTTGAGGAACCGGTAGTTCCCAGTTTGCGCCGACTCAAGACTACGTGGCTACCTACGTTTCGGTTTAAACGAGACATACGTTAACACGGTCAAAGTGTAGGTTGCGTTCAGGTCAGAAGAAGGGCGCCATATGCACAAAGCGGAAGAAAACCAAGCCTGAAATTATGTTGCGCACAGCGTAAATGAAAGAAAATAATCAAAAATAATTTCGGGAAAGGTATAGAGTTTCAGAGAATCGGGTAAACGCCCCATGTTGAGTATAACTGAAACCTGTGTTTCGCTTCGAGGAAAGTGACTTGGCGTGATGTGTTACTCCAGTGGTCTATAATATAGGAGAGCTATGTGACGGTCGCAAGGTTAAGTAGAGCTATTTTCAAGAGGTATGTTCTTTCGGTCAGCTTTATACGGCAATAGGTGGAACTACCATATAACGTACCCGGGTTTTTAGCTAATCCATTATGTTTGCACGATCGTAGATGGGTCGAGATGGGAATTGGGAAACGGAGTATCATCTATGCCCTCCGGACTAATGTGGCATAATGCACTGCGAAAGAGGACGTGCGAGAACAACGAACCCACGGAAAAGAACGAGTTTTCAAATTTAATGGTCAACCAAAGGCTGAGGATTGGCCCAGCTCTCACAGAGGGGCTGTATATCCAAGGACGTTGCACGAGCAGCTTCCATCAGTGATGAAGGAGGAAGGCCCAGGAGTTTTGTATGTGTTGTGGTTGAACGCCTATATTTTTGCTGGGACCAAAGCGGTTTGTTTCTCAAAGCTTCCATTCTGAAGGCCTTAGCTTGAGGACAATACTCCAGGTTACAGTAAACGTGAACTAAGCCAGTGTCTTGGCAACATAAAGTAGGAAAATTACAAGTTAGCGTAAAAACGTGCGCTTTTTAAGATTCGAGGTTTTCCGGCCAAATCTGTCACCTCTGGACGAAATAGGACACTCAGCGAGGTGGGTGAACTACTTATGACACGTATAGCCAGGATAAATTCGGATTTAGGTTTCTCGAGACCCCTAGTAAGTCCTCTGAGGCAGGTGCAGGTGCCTTCTTCGGCTCGTAACCATGGAACTCACCGAACGTTTCCTTTGGGAATTCTCGAAAGCGGGATCGCCGTCCGATATCGGAATCGAATCGATTGTATCTAACTACCGGGTGGATGACGGGTATGTACCAAACAAGACTTCGTAGAAGCCATACCTTCACGGATCCGCGAATTGATACACATGATCGAGGCTTTTGCCCAAGTTTCCCGGGTCAGTTTTGTTCTTGTCGGTCAGTGGCCGTCGTTCACCTGAAAGGCACAAGTGATAAAAGGGTGTAGCACTGCTCTTTATGTTCTCAGCGCGGGGCAGTATGTTGGCCAGCGCGAGGATTCGCATAGATAAATGTCTAACAGTGCTTTAAACTGGGTTCTAGAAGGAGCGTGACAACCGTCGGAGGAAAGTCATTCCACGCAGCTACTACCCGAAATGAGAAAGCATTTTGTCTGATGAATGTGTGTGCTCCGAGCTTGAAAATTTTCTCGCTATGCCCCCGCCTGGTGTTTGCTGGGTCAACGGTAAAAAACCTGTTTGCCAAGCTTTGTTCAAGCATGGCGTCAGTAAGAATTAGGTCCCCTAGGAGGCGACGGTACTCAAGGGGTATCAACTTGGATCTAGATATAATCATAAGCTGATTATTATCTTCACCGAACTGTGACAGCCGGACATGGGAGTTTTGCGTGGCCACCATGAAGCATCTGGGCACTAATGAAGATCCCGGAAATATTGGTTGCTCAAGAACGGAGCAACAAACAACACATAAGTGAACAACGGTGCCGGTTGCTGCATCGCTCCATCGGATGAATCTGTAATTTTCGACTACAGGCGTGTGTAAAGGCCAGCCAAGGCGGCGGATAATAGTATACGCTCTGTAATTCTGACTTAATTAGGATTTGCACGAGAGAACAGAATATTAGTGAATAGGTCTTTTAGGTTGGGTTGTACAGAGGACAGGACCTACTAATTCACCACATGAACCATGAAAGTTGTTTCATTACTGCACACTCTCCACGAAATTAGGGAGGGTGATGTAGATTCTTCCGAGAAAAAGGGCACGTAGTCACATAATCCATGGACCGGCGGCCTCATGATAGACGCTAAAAGTCATGAGCTGGATGACTGTTTCATCTTAACATGGAGGCTAGTTAAAATATGAATGCCAACAAGGAGATAGGCTAGTTATTTCCCTTTAGGAAATGTTCCTGGAGGATTACAGAAATACAAACAGATAAATGGCTATCTAAACAGCACTGGTAAGCGCAGTGGAAAAATTCGGAGACCGGGTAGATTTAGAACCACCCGCTCCCCTGACCAGGATTCTGCTTACAACGTGGGTTCGGTCGTAAGAAGCTGGTGGAGTTTACACAGACTCTTTACACACACGCATGTATTTAGCTTTAGGTGCTTCAATAAATGGGCAAGTTAAATAGTGCCTTTTGTTTTGCTACGTTCGTATGCAAGACAACATTTTTAAACAGGCTTACGGGTTACCACGCTTCACGTTCCCTGATGTTCAAGAAAGCTGAAACTGTGATTTTCTGGACGGCTGTTGTCCTCAGTCAAGTAATTTTCAGGTCGCATATGTAATTTTGTGCTAGGTTTTTGGAGTGATCTGCGTTGTACTGGCGGGATTCTGGGGTGGTGTATATGGCTCCGGATTTGACTGGAATGATCCCAGCAAAGTCTTCAATTTTCACATCCTCTTTATGATACTCGGGTTTGTATTTCTATTTGGAGATTGTGAGTTTCCTTAAGCTCCTATTGCTCGTTGTTTTGGCTCGATATCTGATACTAACACCCTGAATATCATGATTACCAAATATCTTTCGATGTTTCACTCTTGAGATCTCTTAGGATTTCATGATGAGCCGTTTAGAATTTTATTATAGAGGTTAACTTTGTTTTGGTTTATGTGCACTGCAGCAGTTCTTTGAAGAGTTCCAGTTATACTCCGTATTTACCTAAGTAAACACTCCATACCAACATTACCACGCGTATCTTCTGCGTTACCTCAATTCGATAAATTTTACTCCCCCTAAACGCCGTCAGCCCTGCACAACAGTGGAATTTTCTGTTTAAACCTAAGAACCACGCTATGTAGTAACAACTTTTATATGCTTTCATCATCAGCGAGCCAGCGTAAACAGATATAGATGCTGCCCAGGACACGGGATTTAGTCCTTCGATGATGATCTAGGGCCCATCAATAATATCAACCGGGTGAATAGACCGGTTAGCGAACTTTTGCACCCAGCTAACAACTGACGAAGAACGCCAAAATAAATAATCGCGGTATAGAAATACCCAGTTACCGTGCCGTAAAAACATATATTAGTTGTCAGCCAGGTGGTCATCAGGCAATAAACTCACACGAGATACCAATATTTGGAGATATTTAGATGCAGGAGGGTTAAGCTTGCTCTCTAGGATTGAGTGCATGCGACAACAGGGAAGATGTTCATCACTCCAAAGAACAATATTCAGGAAGGTAAAACAAAACCAATGGGATTTTTTGCAATGTCTCATCAAGTCTCACCATTCTGTGCCCAAGAAGGCAGGTTTAAATCGTGTAACGCGCGAAAAGGTACTCATAAACAAAGGAAAATTACGAAGATGATATCCATCCTGGTCACCCGTGCGTTGAAAAAGTTTGTCTCTTTCTTTCATCTTGGATGACTGAATGGACATCAAGCATCAAATTAATGATAGTGAAACACTTCTTTAACTGGGAAGAATGGAAGATGAACGGAGCCACATGAGCCGATGGAAAAAATAACATGACAGAAAGAGTGATCAGATAACAACATAAATCCTGACCTCATAATCCTGCATAAAGGGCCATTATGCTCAGCTCCTGGATGGATGCACCTGATCAGTTACCACAGCCACACTCAAAAACTGAAACCCGTCTCACGCTAGGCGATTAAAAAAGCTACCAACCAGTGCTAACAAAGTGGAGCAGACTATATTTGGTCATGTCGCCACCACCTACGCATATTTCCCCTGTGGTGAGCTCATCGCTTATTTGGACGCGATGGGAGTGTTTCAGCCATCCAACCAAAAAGCACATGCATGCACAAGAACAGTTGGCCATCCGGCGCAAATTAAAAAGCTAGACATCTAACTCAATGTAGATCATTTGGTTGACTTATGCCCGACTCACCTTTGATTACATCACAAGCGGATTTCTCGTGCAGGCTATAAGAGCCTTGGAACAGGTCTACCGTTTGGTGGCTTCTGGGGCTCAAACCGTTTACCATTAAAACTTAAAAGATCATTGTGCATATATTCTGCTGGTGCACTGAGGGTACACACCGATATATATATATATATTGCCCATAAAGACGTATGTCTCAATCCGTGATTTATGCTGAAACCCTCATTAGCAATTGCTACCTAAATCACATGGTCAGGTTGCAGGGTCATATGAAAGTAGGCTTCACCGGTCACTGGATGGCCTTTTCAGCTTGTAATATCATACGATATGCTCTCGTTCACCATCTGTTTGAGTATTTGAATCATTTTGACCATTGTACCGATTTTTGTAACTGCAAAAATTGTTCATTGCCGGTGCTTGTGAACGTTAATCGGGTGACGCTAGTCGTGGTGTGATGGCGGAAGTATTTGGTAGTTCTTTGCCCCCAGACTACTTTACAAAATGGAACGCACCACGCAACTTTAATGTGTAAATTTTTAGCATAGGACGCTTTTCATTACATGATCTTCAATGAGCTTTAGGGACTATCCCATCGGCCGTTTACTCATAACACGAATGCTATTTTGGCAGACGTCGATATATTCCTCGTCTATTCCTTTGACGCACAAATTATTTATGCACACGACCATGGATGGCAGAGTAGATGGTGATAGGAGTAGATGCGCACGATCAGTTTAAGTAGCCTTTTTGGTTGCTTACTTAGTAAGCTGTGGCTACGTGTGATTCAGTGGCACATCATTTGATGCAACTCTTGCAGCCAGTTCACCATGAGTTTCATGAGTCACACTCATTTCATTGTAGTCTTTTTAAGTAAGCTGAGCTCCTTGATTGTCGAAAGACTCTATTACTACCTAGTCATATTTTTGAAGCACTGACCGTGTCAGGTTCAATCTACTGAATAGTTCCAATCCCAGTGTAGATAACCGTTGATTGATCATGAGTCAAGTAAGTCAGCATACAGATAATTAGTCGATATTTTGTGAATGATGGATGTACTCTCGAAAAAACCTGCTTTCTGTCATACTATGTTTCCGTGTTTCCGGTTTTGTTGTAATGCAAAGTCCAAACATGCAACTGACGTTAGTTTTCTTTGTGCCTTGTTTAGCTAACGACGGGTACATTGGAGTCGCGCACCAACACGTAATAGATAGCCTTGCCTAACCTTGGTCTAGATTAAAAGATACAAAGCCCTGTATTAAAAAATGATCCCATTTTTAATCGATCTCTGCGCGCAGATGGCTTGGTTAATCAGACCGTAGTTCTTTCTTGTAAAGCAGTCTTACTCCATAAAACTGATCTAAAATGCAGCCTTTGAACGACACTCAAGCACGGCTTCTGAGAGTAAACGCATCAAATTTAATGAGGGGTAAATTTTATATAGATGTTAGATATAGAACCACAACTGACAGGGATCTAAAAAGAGTAATGGTAGGATTCTATTGAGCTAAGAGAGGACACACTGAAAAATTTGGCGGCTTGCTGGCTTTAAAGGGGCACTTCCCACTTAGTAGGGTACGGACTGCTGGACGCCTTTGCTTAGTTATATTGACATAGGGAAATCGCTCGGGATTGGACATAGCACTGCGGGTAAGCCTGTTAGTCCAATATGAGCCCAAAGATATGGCCAGCAGGTAGGCTGGCAGATGTCTGTCAAGGATAAATAGTCTGTGGGGCATGGCGTTGCACCAACCAACGATGTTCCGGTTCTGTCTGTTCCATCTCCAACGCTAATGCATAGCACAGTACCTTCTTGAAAAATGTCACACACTCGTATTGCTTCGTGCTTGGCAAACATTTTAACCCTCGCTGAACATCTTTTTCACGTATAGCACTGGGTCAACATGTAAACTGAACTTCAGAACAGGGACCATCAACCAGTTCAAATAAACCAATGCGTGGTTTGAGCAAGGGTCATCGGAATAGTAGTCCACGATCCAGTTAACTCGGCTTTTTCACTCATTTATCACCTAGACGGACAAAGTAGCTTTAATTTTTCTCAGTTTTAATGGCTTCCAAGTTAATCTCTAAGTATTAGCAGCCAGATGATCAATTGTTTAATTCTGTTTCCTACTTTTCCCTTTATTATCTGTTGGAGTATAGCAAATCCCCGAAAATATAACAATATTTCGAGGCTAACGTATTCCGGTCACACGTATATAGATTCTGAAGAAGAGAGAGTGTTAACCTATATATGTTCTATCACATTATGTACGAGGCTTGTCAGAGATATAACCCCATAGTTGCTATCACCACAGAAGAGGAAGGTCTGCAATCTGTGGGTAACTGTCGGCTCATGTCCTCATGTAATAAAGTAACAGAAGAACAACAGTAACAACCGAACAACCTTATACAGTGATAAGTCATGTAGGGTCACTGGACGTAAGATGTCTTTTTAATCACACCCAAACCGACATTTTTCGTGTTGTTTTCATCTTGTGTTTCTGTTATCGTTTCAAAAAGATTTATAACGGAAACCGCCGTACATTTTTTCGGGGAAAGGGGGTACTGCCTGAGCCCTTTTGTCTGGAAGACCAACCAGCCAAAAAGTGTGGAGTTACATCTCTGTGTTTCTTCGGTTAGGATTGGTTGAACGACTACTCCTGCCCATCAAATTCGCTACGGGAAGAGGCGTGTTTAAACTAACCCCCTACATTCCCTTCAGTTTACTGTATCAGACTTGTCCCGTATCTTCTCTTATATCTAACTGGCGATGCTTCAGATCATCACCCAACCGCTTCATATTGTACAACACATTTTTACTGTCCTATTCCTTTCATGTTCTTGTCCATGCATACCGTTATTGCCGGCAAATCTCCCTTACACTTTTAGTTCATTAGTACCTTCAACGCATTTCAGGGCCATGAAGCCTTAGGATGTGCATTATCCATTAGGTTTTGTACCATATTTTAATCAATTACCACCACCCTCTACTGTCGACTAGACCCACGCTTTCTTCTAAGCCAGTTAACTTTAAGCAATGTCCTTATTTAGGGCGATCGATGTCCTTCTCAAATTAAATAGCTTTTTACCTTGGTTTTGTTGGACAAATTGCGCCAATATAGCCTCAGATATGTTGCCCGGGATAGAATCCATGCTACGGTTGATGTCAACCGTACTAAACTCTAGCAGCAATAGTGGTCTGCCGGAGTTGGCAGCATCTGCTTGTAGAGAGTTGAGGGGTCAGGTGTCTACTCTCGTCGTTTCGTCACGAAGAGACTGGACCTTACCGTGGTGTGACGGTTTGCGCACCTCAGCGATCCATTGAGCTATACTGGAGAGTGTCCCGCGACACTCACAGAGTCTCTCATACCAGGTTGGTCAATGGTTAGAGGTCTGACGAACAC